AATGAGTTTTTCTAAATTGTTACATGTTGGAATAAAATATCTTACAATATTTTAAAATATCTGTGCTTTACTGTACATTTTTGGTGACAACTCTTAAGCAATTAAATACAGTCTTGAACTTTTTACTAACGACAAATGAGCTAAAATTAGAAAAGAATGATGTGAACCTGAAGAGTTGAAGAAAATTATGAAGGATTTGATTTTTGCTCACAGGATTCGCAGAACGGCCCGGTGCTGGACCGATGGAGCATCTGCTCTCCTGAGGAGGAGCCGCTGGTACTGCAGCAGTTCCTCAGGTTCGCCGAGACGCGTCCGTTCGTGCAGCAGTTGCTGCTGGCCGCCGGGACGCCGGGTACGGATGCTATGTCACCAAGCAGACGACCTTCGCCGCCGACGATGCCACTAGCACACTTACCGCCACCGTTACACCTCCTTCACTGCGGCCTTCCGCCACCAGGCTCGAGGCTGCCGCCACCTCTGCCACCACCGCCACCGCCACACTCGGTCTCGCACCCCTCGATGTCTCCTACGGCACAGAAACACTACTCGACCGCGTCTAGCGGGAATTCAGGGGTGACGAGTAGCGGCAACTCGCCGCCCAGAAGCCTGGATTCACACTTGACGGTGTCGCCGTTGAACAGATTACAGAGCATGCAGCCGTTCGACTTTCGAAAATTGGGAACGCTCGGATTGCCCGCGTTCCCGCCGATACCACCTCCGACACCGACCGAACAGCTCTTACAAAACAGAAAAGCGATGAGAAACCCGCAGAGCCCGCACAGCCCACCTCACCATTCGAGCAGTAACCAACTTTCAAGGCCTCACATTCCTCCCGTGGCGCCGGTGTCTTCCTCGTCGCTCAACTTCGGACACCCGCTATCGGTGGCGGTTTCCTCCGGAGCTCTGCCGCCGAGTTTTCCCACGCATTTCCCGCCGCCGCCGTTGGGTAAATCCACAGGATCAGTAACCGGCATGACAGCGCCATCGGACGTTCATAGCGGTGGTGAGAAGAGCAGCGAGTTCGGTTCGGAGGAGGATGAGGAGGACGAGGAGAACTTAGACAGTGCTTTGAACCTCAGCAGGCGCGACTCCGTATCGAAACATATTAGTGAGCAGCGACATCATCACCCGTTACCTCTCCAAGCTGCCCCCTTAGGCAGGCCGCCAGGAATTCCAGGAAGGAAGCCGCACTCACCTGGGAAACGGCCTGGCAGCCAGTGGGGCTCGTCCGGCAATATTCCTCCAAATCTCGGTACACCTTTCATCAATCCGACTACCGGAAAGAAGAGGGTGCAGTGCAACGTCTGCTTAAAAACGTTCTGCGACAAGGGCGCGTTGAAAATACACTTCAGCGCGGTGCATCTGCGCGAGATGCATCAGTGCACCGTCAAGGGTTGCATCATGATGTTCAGTTCGAGACGGTCGCGTAACCGACACAGTGCTAATCCTAATCCCAAGTTACATTCTCCGCACCTGCGTAGAAAGATCTCGCCGCACGATGGCCGATCGTCCATGGCACACGCGCTAGTTCTACCACCCCAGGTTGGTCTACCCGTTCCTGCCAGCGGCCTAAATCACCTTCCCTTCGGCTCGTTCCCGATGCTGACCCCGCCTCCCGACCTACGATCGCCGGCTTCCCTCTGCGGCCTGGACTTCAAACATCTGGATCTTCAGGGCCAAGGTAGATCGTGCTACGACGAAGCCCTTCAGCAAAGAATGAACGCGAACGCGAGCATTTCGACGACTACGGCGTTAACTACCGCGAGTATGCCGATGAAAACCGACGCGCCCAACAGAGACACCATAGCTAGGGGATCGTACTCCGTGAATTCCGTAGTAGACACAGTATCACCATCTACTCAAGCTTCCACTGCCGCCGTTGAGGGAGAGGATGAGGACGACGACGAGAAAGCAGGTATCGTGGTCGTGGCAGAGGACGATAGCAATCCACCCACAAGATTGCCTCTGCGTTCTGGAGAGGAGGACGACGAACAGCCAGCCGATTTCAGCTTGGCCAAGAGACCGAAATTGTACTTCGGGGATCCGGCGGACGAAGACCTTGTTAGCAACGCGGACAGTATGGAGGACAATGACTCGATGAGTACGGTTGATCAACAAAGCTACTCGTTGAATCAGCACTCGATGAACACGACGTCGATGCACAGCAGGGGCGTCCGGAAGCGAAAGTCTCAGCATCCCACTCGGTGCGCGGTTCTCCCCGAAATACACTCCTCGTCCACTGACGGAGACTCGTCTAACGACGAGGAGAGAGTGCAAAGACGTTTGTCCGACAGCGCGGGGCTCGCGTCGATGCATGATTTCCAGAGTCAGCCCGAGGACATGTCCATGTCCAGACTAGAGGCAGAGGAGCGGAAAACCTCGCCGAACTCATCGAAGAACCTCAGCTTCAACGACCAAGAGTCGAACGCTTCTCGCTCCCCGGAAGCTTGCAATAGAGACACTGCAGCGCTAGTGAATTCCGGTAGACGCGACACGACTTCGTCGCAAGAGAACGCGGATGACCTACCTCAAGACGAGCCGCGAGATCTGAGCTCGAGAGCGAGTAGCGTGAAATCTCCGAGGAGACAGATCACTCCGGAACCAAAGACGTCCCACGATGCGTCGGAATCTCGTCCCACGGAACATAGTGCTGTTTCCATGGAGCCTGTTCTCAAAAAGGATCCCAGCTTCTCGGATTCGGGCGATCGTGATCGACGGAACAGTGAGAGTGAGGAAACGACGAAAGACGAGATGAACGCGGGCATCGCGACAAAAGTCGAGTCGGAGGAGAAGCTAAAAGAGGAAGAGAACCAGCAGGAGATGGAGGAGGAGGAGGAGGAGGAGGACGATGAGGAAGAGGAAGAGCCACTGGTGAAGGTCGAGGATGATGATGAGGAGGAGGAGGAGATGAATGCGGCGGCGCTGCGCAATGAGGAAGGTGAGCGTCCCGATGATCCCCCCCGTGCCCCGAGCTCGGTCGACAGCCGTCCGACGACAGCCGACGACCTCTCCCACGACTCCTCGACCAACACTTTGCGTCAACTCGAGTCCTTGTCGCAGGGTCGCGCGATGCAGCGGTACACCGAGACGCGGGGGCCGGGTTGGAGGTCTGGCCGCGGCTCTACCAGCCCCGTCAGCCTCACGACGCACCAGGAGATCACCATGGACAACTCCTCACGTGGCTCTCGTTCATCCAGTGCCTCACCCTCAACAGCGGCCATGGATACGGACAATAGCCTGATCACCTACGCCCGCTACGAGAACGGCGGCTTCGTCAGCACCCAGGAGGTGCCTCTGGATCGAGAGAATCCCCGACGCTGCACTGCCTGCGGCAAGGTGTTTCAGAACCACTTCGGCGTCAAGACTCACTATCAAAACGTCCATCTGAAGTTGATGCATCGATGCAGCGTCGACGGGTGCAACGCGGCGTTCCCATCGAAGAGATCTCGCGACAGGCACTCGGCTAATCTGAACCTTCACCGAAAACTTCTGTCCACCTCGTCGAGTCCACCATTATCATCCAGTTTGCCGCCTAGCTTGTCGCCCAGAGTAGAGGACTCTCAGATGAATCCGTTGTTGCACAACGAGTTCCTGGCGAGATTATACGCGGACGCGGGCATGGGCACTCTTGGTGGTTACCCGTTGACTCCTGGGCTGCCTTCTGCCGTCGATCTGGCAGCAAGGATACCACCACCGCATCCTCTTTTACTGCCTCCTCATTTGGGCACCGCCAGCTTCTCCGGTCTGTCCTCGTTCGCCTCTCATCTGGCCGGTCTGAATGGGTTGACCCATCAGCACCTGAACAATTTGACAAGGATGTCTCAGGAGCCGGGGAACAACAGACATCCTCCCGGATCGGGCTCGCCGATGTCATCACCGGGTTCCGAGGATAGAAAGGAAGAAGCCAGATGCACCGTTCCCGGTTGCGACCGAGTATTCGGCTCGAGGGCGGTCAGGGACGCTCATTCGAAGGACCCGCAGGCCCACCGCGACTTACCGGTGTTGTCGAGCAGCGGCTCGTGACCGATCTCTTTTCACGACCGTGACTTTACTGTGATGCCAAAACTTCGATCACCCATGATCTCGACTGGAAGTGGTCAGCGAAACGCTCGACACGGCTGAAGAATCCTAAGCTAACGTGCAATATCGGGGGACGAGACGCTTCCGGAAACCGGAAATTTCTTCCATCAAAGTGCGGTCTGCGAAGTTGGTTTCGGTGCAGTTCAATGCTGGTTGCTGAACTCGAAAAGTACTTAATGGAGCCGGGGTGATTCGAATCGACCACGTTCTTGCCGGCTAAAGTGACATTGATACTGACGATGAGACGCGTTCCGATCCCGGTTCGCGCAGTTTTGTTCTTGTGAAAACGTATGGTGCTCCTATCTAGTCAATTCGGAAGCCCTCGGCCACGCCGCTGGAATCGAAATTTCGTCCAACTCGTCCATTCGCAAGGGTAAAATGCGTTGCTGGAGATAACGTGTCACTTGGATATTAAACATATCATTTATACTTCGACATCATTATCGATGATAGAAAAATACTTATTGTTTTAATTCATCAACGTTTTATGAACGTATTCTTAAACATAAATCTTTCCATCTACTGTTTGAAACGTAATCATCAGTGTGCATGAACATAATTAAATTTGTATTGGATTTAGCTTTATATTAACAGAACTCGTGGAGTGATGGGACAAGTGTTTCCAGTGACGGATTTGAGTATATTTCTGATAGGTTCTCGTTCCAGTCTGCGTGTCACGGAGCACCGAGAAGAAAAGGGAAAAAGCTGGTCGATCGAGGTAGAATTCGCCGCCATCCTGGCGAACCGGGTTAATTCTGCTGCTCGTTTCTTTTCTCCGATAATTAAAGGGGCGGTAGACGAGGGTTAGAGAGAGAGAGAGAGAGAGAGAGAGGAAGTTCAGGGCGGACAGGAGAAGTAGAGCGACGACCGGCATGATCGAACGCGGTCTCGTTTCGGTCTATCCGGCTGATTTTATCATCGTTGTGATAAACGTAACGTTTAGTATAAATATGCCACTTATTTAATCAGTAATCAATTACTACCGCTGTATATATATATGATAAAAAACATAGTACCTTTTTTCGATGTATCGCGTAATTAATCAATTAAGCTCTAATCGATTAAGCTCGTGCGCGAACGAGTGGCGACAGGCGAGAATCTTGCTGACCGAGTGGATATTATGACGGTAATTTTATAACGAGGAACCGATCCGGGCCGGGAAATCGAAACGATGACTGAGAACGACACGCGAAGCAGTTAAAGCGAAATAGAGTTGGGTTCGAGATGAATCCTAACGAATAGGGATACGCCATAATTGAAAATAATTAACTTCCACTAAACTATCTTAGCTATTGGAAATGTGAAGTGAAAGATCTTTGATGCTTGTTGGCAAATACGACTCAGTTCTCTTTCATTGATTCGCATTAAGGAATCAACGTACTCCGACTTTCACAGAAACGCACAACTTTTTATTCCAATAAAATTGTAACGAATAGGTCTCTGGCGTACTCTAAATCATCGATTGCAAATGCGTTAAAATAGGAGGTTTGCTCGAACGGAGAGGTCAGAAGCGACCATCGAATCAAAGCTGACGGACGTCGTCTCGCGCTAGATAAAATGAGAATAGATAGATTTTATTTATTGTTTCCTAGGGATCCTAAACGAGAAAGCACGGTGTACCGAGCGGCCAGTAGCGGGCACTGCCGCGAAGACTTTGTTCTCGAAATCGTCGCGTCGCGTCGTACGATCGTCGCCGATCGTCGATCGATCGTGGAACGACGCGAGACGAGCTCATTAAAAAAACGAAGGCGTTCGAACGACGACCAACCTGACCGTTTGTTTCTTTTCTTCTTCGGTTGTACATACATTGTATACCTTGTTTTCGTAGTCGGTGTGCGCGTGGATCGACGCACGTATGTGACCCGCGCGGTGTATGCGTGGATCGACGACGTGGATCGAAATGTTTTCAGCGGGCCGGAAACAACAAGTTCTCTTTTGTACGGGCATTCATGCCCTCGACGATTTTTCGTGTTTCTCGGCGAACAATCGACAGCGTAGAAAAGTAAGACTAAAGAAACGGAGAAAATGGCAGCGACGAACGCGACGCACGACACATCTCGCTAATTAATTTACGCATCGTAAGTGGCCGAACCAGAATTTACAATTGTAATTATGTATAAACGAAATGCTATGATGTATGATATTATAGATCGATTATAAAGAACACTCATCATTATGAAAATAAATACCTACCGAAATCAATCGTGACTGAGTTCTGCGTTGTACGCTTTCTACCCTGGACACCCGTTTCCGAGCTTTAATGGACGTGGATAAATAAATACGGGTCTTTTGAAGCCGACACGTTGCACCGATTGAAATATGTAACCGTTTAATGGGATGCAATCTATTTGTCGAGCGTAAACGTTCCTCGGTTTCCTTACCGCGAGCAAAATAAAGTTCAGAATTAATGGCAGGCAGAAAAGTTTCGGACTTTGAGATGCATTTATAAGTTTATACTCAAGTTCGAGAATATAATATCTAACATAAGTTAAATACTTATATGTATAAGTACCAAGTTATTCCATATTATTTAAAAATAGAAAATATTTCGACAAATTAAAAATAAAATACTTTCGAAGAATATGAAATTAACGCAAATATAAATGACAGTCAACGTCAGTACACTTCCTGAATTCGAGCATTAGAGGATAGTTTGTTTGTGGTTCACTAGGAAAGACGTTCCCGTGTTTAACGCGTTCGACGCGAGAAATGAAAAACGAAAAACCGCGAACTCCGCCTACGACCTCGAACGCTCGACCTCGTTTTCTGCGAAAGAAATCTCGAGGAAGGAGGAACGCAACAGTGCATCGTACAGCACAGCACCTCGCAGGCTCGTATATCAGGGATCTTCGCGGGCGTGCACGCGCACGCCTACCAATCCTCGTAGCACGAAGCGGCGAACAAGAATGAAACAGTATAGTGCAACGAGCAGGTACGGAAAGCTGCAACCTTTTAAGAGATTCATCGCTTGTATATTTATCATTCGAAACGACACTATGACAATTATTAGAACGATTCCACACTAATCTATGTATTTGGATTTTTGAAGTATTTGCAAGTATGAGTTAGAACATTTTTCAATACTATGCCTTCCTTATTTGATTTCAATTTTTAAAAAGTAGGCAGGTATTGATTAAAAACTTTTCAGATATCCTTCATTCTTCAGATAAAAGTTACATTCTTCCTCAGAGTGTATGGTTTTACAATTATAAAATTTGTAACTCGCCTGTAGTAACAACTTTTTGCTTTAAAAAGACTTAAATTGCAGTTGTTTGAGAATATTGTTATTACGAAACTTTCGATAATTGAACAGAGTAATTGCTCTGGAGAATATTACAGCCTGTTTAAAAAGTAATTTAAGAAATTGACATGCGACAATTATACATCGTACATGTCGTCAATGGAGTAAAGAAAAAGGGCAAATCGTGAAAATGTAGCAATGACAAGTGTGCGAATCGGCGTTTAAGGGACCGTTTATCGAATTTCGCCCGAAGGAAACGGCGCTACCTCGTTCAGGGGTATAACAAATTGGCTGGTTTCGAGACGAGCACTTTCGTGAAAATTACCCTTCAATTATAACCCCATCATCGATCCACGATAACGACAAAGTCGTAACGAGTTTCACGCAACGGTGTCCATCGGATCTTGTCACTTTTTATTAGTCTAACTGGTTCGGATGTCTTGTTGGTGTTGGTCGTCCGGTGCATACGTTGTCAACGCAGCTGCGAACAAGCGATCGTTATCTATCCGGTGGACAGATAGACGAGAATTCGCATTGTAATTAGACGAGGGAGCAATTCCCGTCATTAATGAGAGGCGAACGAGGTAATTACTTCCTGCAGTCGATCGACCGAGCAGACTCTTTCGCAAAAGTATTCTGAATGGTAACGATCGAGCAGTTGTTCAATTATGACGCGTACATGAATGATTATACCGTACTTGAAAAAGAAATTCAGACCACCTGCGAAGGGCTGATCCAGTTTTTTTCAACTTTATTTTCAAGCTTGTGCTCTTTTAATACCAATATCACAATTTTGTACAATTTTAATGACAAAATATTTGTCGATATTTAAACGTTTTAATAAAATACGTGCAACTACAAAACTCCATTAATTTTTGTGAATTTTTAGTGAGAATCATTAGATTATTGCATTACTGAACAAAAATACTGCATAAGAACCCAAGTCCTCGTAACCATAAATCCGGCAATTGAGCCAGCTCCATCCCCGTCCCCGTCCAGCAGAAAATCGACTGTACCCCAATCGAAGACACGATATATGTATGTACAACACAGGCGGCGTGGCACACCGTAGCTAATCGGCGCGGTGCTAGCAGGTACCTGGGTCGGTCTAAATACACGTTAGAAGCGCGTGGCCGGCCGGTCGTTTAATCAGACGCCGCAGGCAAGCTTCCATGTCGAACCGTGAATATCGGCCTCTAGTATCTCCGGGCCGAGATAAAAATCGCCACGGTAATTTCGGCGTCGTGCACATGTCGCGTCCCCATCCGGGCCAGAGCTCGGTGTGCACACCTCGCAGAGGATCTACCAACGACCCCGCGCCACGCCTTATCGGGGATCTATCGATCTCCGCGAACCGTCTAATCGACTCACGACCGACTGGGATCAATTTTCTACCAACGTGGAGCACGCAGGCATTCTCTAGTCAGCGTTTAGAGACGCAGAGACAAATTAGGACGCAGCTGCAGAATTCTAGAATGCTCTGTTTTTTCATCTTTGCGTTTTACATCATGAGAGCAAGATCTATTTATATAAAATACTTAATGGAATAATTGGATATTGTCTAGCACTGAACACTGGGTTAATAATTAATAGGTGACTCTCTATTAAAAAATGACTACATACTTGAACATGAGAGGTATAATTTGTCTAAGACAAAATTACTTTGAAAGTACATAAAGTAGATCTTGCGGTATCCCACAAAAAATGGCAGAAACTAGTAGGGTGATCTCTGTTTAAAGGATAGCTGACATTGAATAATACCCGGTCGACGTTTCTTCTGATTTTTAACGAGACAAAATTATAGAGTTGCCAGAGCGAGTTGAGCAACAAATTCTCATCTATTATTATTCGTCTAACCTTTAGATCGCGATGTCGTACGAGGAAAAAATGACCTTAATAACCTATTATCTTAATAACTTTCGAATCTGAATATTACGTAGCAAAAGAAATGGCCTTCAGATATTGAGTAGCTTCGAACTATAATTTAGAGAAGAGGTCCTTGAGTATTTAAGGAATCGTTACACTAAGGTTTAAAGCTTTTGACTTAACAACATGCTGTTCTTTACATGTAAATCATTAAAAACAATCTGATAAGAGAAGAATAGAATTTGGTTCTGAGTGAAATATCCCTTTTGAATGAAATTAATTTCTTCTTCCGTTCACTCAAATTCCCCTGCTTCCTGGAAAGAAATTTTCATATTCTCACGGTTCTTGTTTCTTTAAACCGCGAGTTCCATGGGAGGACGGTACAAAATGAAGAAAGTCACGCGTCGTTTGTCAGGATATAAGGTGTCGTTCCTTAAAAAGAGTAACCTTGAAATCGCAGATGACAGACGGTCTCCGCAAACGGCGTATCTTTATTGTCCGGAACGAGTCTAACAGCCGTTAATGGAAACAGACTTCCTACCCTATATCGCGAGAATACAATTGACATGTGTCATGTACGTGTCGTTAATGGTCAGTCACATTGTAAAGTACATGGACGTTTGCAATTATGAAGTAAAATGCACGATGTTTTGTATTTAACAAATGTCATAATATGTGCTAAAGGAATGAAATTCACTTATCACTAAAATTGACTTCATGATATTTTTGCGCGTAACTGTACGCTAATCCGACGAACATAAATCGTGGCTGTAAATTCGAAATTGATTCGCGATCAATGTTGGTTCGCGGCAATCATCGGGCGCCCGTGGGCTTGGGAATTACGCCCGCGGATGAAATATCCGGCCGGATGGCCGGAATTTCGCGCTGGCAAATTAAAAGGCGGTCGTACGGTGTTTACCGAGGAACGACGAGGCGTAAGTCCACCGGGTGCCGGGGTTCGAAGATTGAAACGGACGCCCAGCGCCGCGCCGACGCGAGAACTCCGACTTGTAAATCAATTTATTCGTTGACGGGCCACTCGCGCCCGCTTCCTTATTAAAATTCGAGGCACGGGCTTGATTTTAACGATCGGGGATACACGCGCCGAGCCGCATCGTGGATGGTGAAGGATAGCCGCACCGCCGCCGTCGCCGCCGCCGATGGAATAGAGGTATTTGTTTCAACGAGATGAAGCGTGACGAGTAATAATTGGCTTCAAGGGGCAAGTTTATCGAGTTAAGTAGATGTTTAAATTAAAACTGGTTGGCAAGAGGGTTATCCAATCTCGGTTTATGAAATTGTATGGTGGTAATCAATTGTACACTGCGCATTTTATAATTAACAGTATTACGTGATAATCGATACCGTTCATTTTCATTATCTAATAATTCCGGTAACGAATAATTTAATTTCATCTATTTCACGCGAACTCGAATAATATCCAGGCGTTGCATGTAACGCAGAAACTTAACAGAATAAAGGCGGTGGGGATTCGAGCGAGATCTCAAGAAATCACGCTGAACACTGTCAACCACAAAACTCTTCCGGTGCAGCTTGACACGTCATCTGGAATGACACTGCACGCGATGCGTGCACCATCTGGTATATCAACAATTACGCGCAACGAACGTTTAGTTCAAGCTTTATACCTTCGAATAGAACACTGTTCTGTCAATCCTATGTTGTGCATTGAAAGTCTTTCAAGGCAGTTATTAAAATAATTTCTTACTTCTTTTTTAATTAGAAACGCAAGTGGTAATAGCTCGACTGATGCGCTTGTCGACGAGATTTTCCTTCTCCACGGCAAGACACGCGATTTTTTTTTTAGTCGAGTTCGTTCACCGGACACTGACTCGATAACTGAGACCGCAGACATTATTGTTGACACTTTCGGTGATCTTTTGTATTATACTTTTTATCATTGGTCAACCGTGAGAACTCAGCGCATTACCTTTTGGCTTCCAATAGAAATATGAATAATATAATGCGGTTATGTGATGAATTACATGAGATATACAGGGTGTTGTTTAACTGGTGATACAAGCGAAAAGGGGGCGATTCAGGCACGTTTCAGTTACCAAGTGTGAGATTTTTTACATTA